CACCCCTGCTTCTGCAGCCTCGCCCCCATGGGCTCACCCTCCAACCACACAGGCGTCCCACTGCCTCAAAAGTGGTCATTCTCCTACCTTTTGCCTTTAGAAGACACAAACACCCAATACAACGCAATACCACTCATTAAGCTCTGGTTAGGTGTTAGGTGCAAACATCTCGTCGTCGATTCTTCCCTAAACCATCACTTGACGTGTCGGTGGCCTTCCTGCTGGTGGTCCCCTCACCCTGTCACACTGCTGTTCTTAGACCGCTGTTACAGGGTGGTAGGATTCCCTCTCTTATCTGGGGAAGGCAAGGGACAAGGACACCATGACTCTCGGCTTCTTCTCCTTCACTTTCCTTTCTGGGAATACCCAACAGCATGCTCATCCCGCATGCTCTGTACCCAAAGCCCTTCCACTCGTTTCCAGGGTACTTCCCACATCATTTCTGTGCCCTGGGGTTCGGGCTCCACTGATGGGACTCCAGTGCACAGGGCCCTCAGCCCAGAGCTGCCAACTCCGCCTCTTCCACTGCCTGGCCATCGGAGTTCCTGACTCTCGAGGCCCAGTCGGTTCCAAGGTAGAGGGGGCCAGCCGCAAGTCTTCTCTGTGGGCTGTCCCCTGCATTTCATCTCTTTCGGTGCGAATTTTTCCAGCAGAACCACGCCATCTCTTTTCCCACAGTCTGGCATTGCTCTGCCTACCCGTCCTGTCAGACTTAAACACTCCTGGGTGCCTTTATCTCTTGGCCAACCGGTATGAATGACCTACCCTACAATGCCCGTTTCTCCTTCTTTGCCTAATCGCCTCATGAGGGCCACCAAAGACTCCCTTGTGGTTGACTCAAATGCACATTTTCCACCACCTGTCTAACCTGGCACCTCTGGCCAGCACCTATTAAAGCACACCACATCTTTTACATGAGAGGTGTCCTCTACAGTAGCAGTTCTCAACCTGTGGGTCTCGGCCCCACTGGGACTCACATATCAGATGTCCTGCATATCAGATATTTAGATTATGATTCCATAACAGTATTAAAGTTACATTAATGAAGTAGAAAAGAAATAATTTTATGGCTGGGAGTCAGCACAACATGAGGAACTGTATTACAGGGTCCCAACATTAGGAAGGTTGAGGACCACTGCGCTGCAAACTTCACCTAGCTCCATCACTAAAGATCCCGCTCCAGGTGCCCAGGCCAGTCTTTCTGTCTGTGTGTCTGTCTGCAGTTCTGTTGCGCTCACACACAGCCCTCAGATGCTGAGCAGCAGAAACCGCTACTGCCAGGTGCTGTCCCTGGGGCGCTAAGGCTTCCTTTGTGTCCCTTGCTCGGTGGAGGTGACATTCTTAGGATCAGTGTGCAGTGCTCTGTGCTGTGCTGGGACTGTGCCCAAAGAGACCACATCCAGGCGTGAGTATAAACAATGCCGCCTCCAGTCTCAAAAAGTCCTGTTCGGAGTGATAAATCAAGTATCCCTCCTCACTCAAATCCACCTGCCTATCATGGCTCCCAGAAACCTGAGGGTTACACCCACTCCACCCTCCTCCTGATACCCCCACAGACACAGCACCCATGAATACCAGCACCCTAACATCTCTTACCACATTGCCATGGCATTCCTTCAGTTTCCCCTCCCCCATCCTATCTGTTGTCACAGTGGCCTTGCCCTTCCAAAGTTGCTCACAATCCTCAGTCTAAGCATGAGATAGTGACTTCAAGACGACATCCTGGCCCCACATCAGGGCCGTGTTGAATCCCACGCCTCACTTTACCACCTGGCCATCGTCTGTCCCTCACTACTCGTGGCCCATGGGGACCCTATATCCCTCTGCTTTGGGGCGGCCTGCCTGCCTCTCCGGCTATCCCCGAAGTGATGGTGTCTTCCGTCTTTCAGTCAATGGCGCTTGCATGGTGCTGAGCACGCAGCTCGTGAATCACTTCAGGTCGCTAACACAGCTAGCCTGTGTGGTCACATGCCTAGGGGCCACAGCCCCTGTATATATGTGCCCGTCCCCTCTGCTTGGAAGGCCTGTTTCCAAGTCTGTCCCTTCTACCACGAGCCACTCTTACCCAGAATTACCCAGGGCCTCGGAAGCCCCGTACCATTTCGCAGTGAATTCCTCTGTGACAGTAGCAGGCCCCGCACACCCCTGCTCTGTGTGGAAAGACAAGGCTGGGGTTGGCCTATGAGATCTGCCTGTGCCTTGTGCCTGTCTCCAGATTGCTAACCCTTGAGGAATGTGTCTTCACAATGCAAGCAAGGAGGTGGTCCTTAGGGGACAGCAACACAAACATGCTGCTGCAGACATGGGGGGGGGACTGTGCCTGCTCAGCTCCGGAGAACCTTCAGGGTCACTGGCTTTCAGGATCCTGATTGGAAACCTAAGGGACAGCAGGGCAGAGCACTGTGGCTTTTGTTCTGTCCCTCTAATGCAAGCCCATATTCCCTACTTAAGGGCAATTTGTTCCTTTCGAGAAAGGATTCCAGCTGGTTAGATTTGAGGTGAAGAATAAGTCTTAGTCAAGACGCTTCTCAGGGCTTTTCAGTTTTCGTTGGCTGCAGAACAGGATGCATTTTAGAATGTTGGCCACTTAGGGTTTGCCAGGAGGAACACCAGGGAGGGAACTCGGGGAGGGAACATGGGGAGGGGAAGCATCCACTAACCAGCTCACTCTTGCTCCCCCCCTCTCAGCCACAGATCACAGGGAGGCATCCTGTGTCCTGAATTCCTTTGCCCTTTGAGTACCCCTGACCTTCTCCATTTCCCTTCCCATTCTTAGCTAGCTCCCCCCGCCCTCCGGGCAGAGAATACTTTCCTGAACCCCTAGTCTCAACAGTGTCCAGGACTCAAAACCACTTAACAGGCAAGCAGTGGGGCTTACCATCCGTTGCTTATACACCAGGGACTGTTTTTGTACCCACCATCCATTCATTCCGTCATCTATCCACCCATTCCCTCCTCTATCCATTCATCTGCATGTCCATCCATCTACTCATCCATCTGTCCATCTGTCCGTCCATCCATCCATACGCTTGTGTGTCACCCATCGAGTTATACACCCACTAATGTATCCACTCGCCTGTCCGTCACTCATCCATCCATCCACCCCTCCATCTACTTCTTCATTCACTCCCTCTTACCCAGCCAGCACGGAACCTGCCGCGCCCACAGGGGCTGTAGGTGAATCAGTGTTTACAAGGTGATTGCCGTGGTATGAGATAAGGTTGAGTAGCAGGAGGAGTGAAAATACTCTGGTTAGAAGGCATGGCGATGTTTAAAGAGCTTGGAGCAAGATATCATCAGCAAGGATGGGAGTAAGGTTCGGAGCCAGCAGTCGGGGAAGGCTTCCTGGAAGAGGAAGCAAAACCCAAAGAAGGGAGAAGCCTGTACAAAGGGGTCACAGAGGCCTGTCCCATGCCTGAGGCACTCTAGCCCAGGCCTCAGACAGGGCTTGCTTGGCAGGGTGGGGGTGAAAGCTCCCTGGACAAGTCCCCTGATAGTTGTCACTTTGATGACTTCAGTTCCACCATTTTGGAAAAAGGGTGCTGCTTCCGCTGAGTGGCGTGCCAACTCTTGCCTTTTTCCATCACCCTGGGGACTCTGAGGAAATGCCTTCATCCTCTAACTAAAGACTCAAGCCCTTCCCACCCCTGCCTGGCTTTTGAAGTACCCAGTTCCAGTATGGCACCTACCTCCTCTCCAGCCCTGCCTGTGAGTCTCTCTGTGGCTGTTTCCTCCCTTGGGCTCTTTGAGAAAGCTCCAGCCACCACCTTCTTTAAGGATCATCCCTAGTGTCCTCTCCACCCCTTTCCATTTCCACCAGAGCAGCTTGCCTTCAGTGCCCCCTCCAGCCCCCTCAGACTCCTGGCAATGATTGACTGCTGGAGACAGAAGGTTCTAGGGTTGGACACTGGACAGACCTATGTGTTGAGCCTGGCACTGCCACTGCCCCGCTTAGTACTGGCTTAGATCCTTACACCCATCAGAACAACCCTGGCCACCTTAGTGTAGAGAACCCATCAGAACAGCCCTGCTACCCTCCCCAGCCCCTTAGTGCAGAGAACAGGAGCCACTGTTTGATGTAGGGACTAACACGTACTCCAGTCAGGATCCTGGGACTTACCACTAACCCCTTTACAAAAGCAAATACTTAGTCCCCAGACCTGAGGAGAAAGCTGAGTGGACAGAAGGTGTAAGTTCATGAAGGGACATGTGGTGCAAGCTTTACAGTAGCCCTGGCTTTACCTTCTCACGGATCTGACGCATTTTCAGGAAGCATTGGGTCTACACTAGTACACACCCCTTTTTTTCCTCCTGCCCTCTGCTTCCACCACACCTTCCTTTACCAGTCTTCTTGGTTCTCCTTGGTTACATGAGAAGTAGATATCAGGACAGGGCAGAGACCATCATTTCCCTCTTATGTGTCCACATGCCAGGACAATCAAGTAAACCCAATGAAGCCAAACTCTCCTAACTGGCATATTCCTCCCATGAGGGAGAGCAGGAGCTTGGCAATAGACACTTCCATCTAGTGGACCCCTTCGTAATAGCAGCAGAGTTGCAGATTCCCTTGGGATTAATGAACTAATGGTGAGTCCAAAGGTTCCATCCTACAGAGATATACTGGTTTCCACGCAACCTTTAAGCCAGTTATTCTCAACCTTTGGGTCACAACCCCTTTGGGGGTCAAGTGACCCTTTCACTGGGGTCATTTGCCTAAGACCATCTGCAGATCAGATATTTATGATTCATAATAGAAGCTAAATTGCAGTTATGAAGTAGCAGTGAAAATAATTTTAAGTTGGGGGTCACCACAACATAAGGAACTGTATTAAAGGGTCACAACATTAAGAAGGTTGAGAACCACTGACCTTAGCAATAGTTGCTTGACTCCTGAAAACCTGGCCCTGGGGGTTTTCATGAGGCTCCAAGTCCCCAATAACAGTGAGCCAAAGGCAAATCAGGACCCCACACCTCTCCCTCAACCAATCCAATTCACTTACATCCAAGGCTTGGGGGAACTTGACTATCGGCTCAGGCCACGTTTGGATCTTCTGCCTGTATTCATTGCACCGGGGAAGAATTTTGCAGCTGATATTCCCCACCTCCGAGTAGAAAACTTCAAGATTCCTATGAAGAGGAGAAGACAGCCATTTCATGCCAGGGTTTTGGTCAATCCTGGGGCTCACAGGCTATAGTCCAGCACCACTGGGTATGCAGAGTTGAATGGGGTTAAATTCTAAGCCCGCCACTAACTAAGGAGCTATGTGACCCAAGAGTTGCCTGATGTCATTGTCCTAGGTCTCCTTGCCTGTAACAGAGCTAGTGGCTACTTCAAGGGTTAGTGTGGGGATATAGCATTGGTCAGAGGGTCCTCCTGTGAGTGACCCTGGAAGAGGGTAGTCATCTTTGGTATGCCCAGAGACTGGTTCCAGGACACCTGACCCACAGAGATTCTCAGATATATGAATCCTTCAAGGAAATGGCATGATGTCTTGTCAGGTCATATTTTGTTCTTGATCTAACAAATAAAGCTTACCTGAAGATCAGAGTGTGGAGCTAAGCCACTAATTAGTCATAGGGGCCAGGCAGTGGTGACACATACCTTTAACCCCAGCACTAGGAAGGTGGAGACAGGAGTGATATGGCTGAGTGGGGAAAGGAATATAAGGCAGGAGGAAACAGGAGCTCTTTGTATTCAGTCTGAGGACCCACAGGAACAGAATTGCCCATTCAGTCTGAGGTTTCGTAGAGACAGGTCTTTGCCCCCATGGGTCTGAGGATTTCATAGGGGTAAGAACTCTAGCAGCTGACTCCTTTACTTCTCTGATTTTTCAGCATTTACCCCAATATCTGACCCTGGGTTTTTGTTATTAAGACCAATTAGAATTTGTGTGACAATGTCTGCATTAACATACACATGTCTTTCTGTGTAGTCAGGTCATTTCTATATTATGATATATACACAGTAAAGATGCTATACAGTGGTATCCTTTAGGAAATGAAGACAAAAGTCTATACATGCTCAATAACCAATGTGTGTGTGCGTGTGTATATTTATGTATATGTGTATGTCCATGTATGTGCATATACATGTATATGTGTGTTTATGTATATATTGTTCATTGTATGCACATAAATGTATGTATATGCATGTGTGTATGCATATGTTAATGTGTGTGTGTGTGGTACCCAGTGACTTGTGCATACCAAGAAAGAACTCTACCACTTAGCTATACTTCCATAGTCACTGCCTTTTTTTTCTTTTTCTTTTCGAGACAGACTGTCCCTTGGACTTTTGTCTTCAGGTCTCAACCTTACAAATGTATGACTGTGTCTGTATCAGAGGTAACCCCCCACCCAAACGTTTCCGATTTGTGGTTGGTTGCATCCATAGATATAGACCCTGTCAATGCAGAAAGAAAATGATCAAATTGGGCCTACAAGGACCTTATACATGAACTTGTCTGATATTCTTCTTACACATGGTGCCCCAATACAGCTGAGCTAGTCCCCAAACAGACAGTGACTACCTACAACAGTCCCCCATGCCCTGCTGGGGTGATACCTGATGGAAACCCAGGGGGAACATAATGTAAGGATCATATCTTCAGAAGAATTCCTGCAGAGTAGAGCTGAGAAGAGGCTAAGGGCGGGCCTCCTAGTGAGCCCCACATGCCCTTCTAGCCCCTTGTCCCCCATCCTTCCTGCAGCTCCAGATGTCCAACTTTGGACAAAGGCAGCTGGGTCCATGGGTTGCTTTGATTCAAACATAGGGTACTTTAGTGGGTGTGCACCCCCACCATCAAGACTTGGTCACTATGGTCCCCAGAAGGTGGAAGAAGTAGCATGTGTTGGCCAAACCAACACTTCAGGGGTGTTATTTGTTTCTATTAACTTTATGCGTGTGCACAGCATTCTTTTTGGATGGTATGGTTTGGGCAGTTTTTGAAGACATCTTAGGGAATGGGTTTTCTTTCATTCATTCATCTTGGTTTTGTTTTGTTTTTTTGAGACAGGGTTTCTCTGTGTAGCTGTCTTGGAACTCACTCTATAGACCAGGGCAGCCTCAATCTCACAGTTTTACCTGTCTCTGCCTCCTGAGTGCATTTGCTGCAGACATGGAGGGGACCAGACAAAGTCAGATGGATAAACATAGTTCTTCCAGTTCTGAGACTGAGCCTGGGTTCTGCCAGATATAGGTAAGGCCTCACCCTGAAAATCCTTCTTAATGATTCTCCTTCACGGATCCATGCCTCTAAGTACTAAGTTCAACATTCCAAAATTCCCTGCCAGCCTCCACAGTCAAGGCTAGAAGCTGAGCTAGGCAGAGATCCTGCGCTTAAGTACAGAAATCTGGGCTGTCATTCCCATAACATATCTTCAATTCCAAGGCCATCTCTTACAAAGGTCTTGAGGTTTGAATGAGAAGCGTCACTTATAGGCTCACGTGTTTTAATACTTGGTCCTTAGCTGGTACTGTTTAGGAAAGGTCCTAGTTTTCTTTCTGTCGGCTGTGGTAAATCGATGACCAAACCGACTTGGGAGAAGGGTTTACTTCAGCCCATTATCGGGGAAGCCAAGGCAGGAACCTAGAGGCAGAGACGGTGGAGGAACACGGCTTACTGGCTTGTTTCCATGGCCTTCTCATTTTGCTTCCTTATATGACCCAGGTCCACCTGCCTAGGGGTGGCACAGTTCACAGTAGGCTGGGCTCTCCCACGCCAATCGCTAATCAAGTAAATATCCACAGGCCAGCCTGATCGAGGCAATTCCTCAATCGGGGCTTCTTCTTCTAAGGTGATTTTAGTTTGTGCCAAGTCTCCTCCGTCACCAACTTGCAGAGAGAATGGCAGAAAAGTGGCAAAGGAAGGGGAAAACTCGGGCGGCTCAGGAATCTGGAGAAATGGAGACTGGATTTGCAATGTGAGCAGAGCACAGAACTCCAGGGCCTGCAGCTGGCAGCAACCCAGATCGAGAACATGTGGCCTTGGAAGGAATGAAGGTAGCTCAGCTCCAGCTGGGACCACACTCTCTGGAGGGCTCCCTAATAAAACACACTCGGGCCTACTGCTGAAAAAAAAAATCTTTTCATTAAAATGCCACTTTGTCGAAAACCTCAGGGAGGGGGCTTTCTGGGCGGGGTTTGACGGCTAGCTTTATCCACAGGGTCTTCATCCCCAGTCAAGGAGGTCTCCAGGCTTTATGCTTGCTCTCACAAAAGCTGGCTAAGGCACAGTGCCGCTGAGTTCTAGATGCACACTCCCGGAGGCCACCACTTCCCACACTGCCCTCTCCGTTTACCCGCATAGTCCCATGTCTTCTTTGGGCAAGGATTCAGGAACACATCCTCCGCCTCCGCCTCCGCCTCCTCCGCCTCCGCCTCCTCCTCCGCCTCCGCCTCCTCCTCCGCCTCCGCCTCCTCCTCCTCCGCCTCCTCCGCCTCCTGCTCCTCCTCCTTCTCCAGTGGACTCAGGTGTTGTCATTGAGAGGCCCAACCACACAGCGGCTGCAAGGAGGCTGAAGCAAAGAGCCACTGCACCCAGCTTCATCGGCACTGTTCCTGGCAACTGAAAGGAGGAAAGAACGGAAAAACAAAACAAAACAAAACTGGAGTGATGCTGTGACCCTGTGCAGCTCTCTTCCCCTCCTAGGCCCCACTCCAGGCTCCTCCCGGTGGGCAGAGCTCTGGGCTCCAGCTACTGACCAATTACCCAGCTGCGTGTGCTTTGGGAGGACTTGGGTTTGCTACAAGCTGGACTCTTGATTCCTGTCCTGGCTGAGGCCCCTCCCTGGCAGGCCATAGCTTTGTTGTCCTGTCCTGGCTGCCGGCTCTGAAGAAGGGGGTAGAAGACGCCCGGCAGTGAGGTCCAGGGCCCACGCCTTGGGCTTCACATTGACTCCAGGCTGGGGAGGGCTGTGGGTTCGGCTGAGGTATGTCCCTCAATTGCTCTACTCTACCACCAGTTTCTCCGCTACCTGTCTCTGTGGCCTATGGACACCAGAAAAATGGTTGGACAGAATGATGCTACTATGTAAGGGCTGCTATACAGGATGGGGCCACCACTCAAAGACCAACTCTAAAATGCCACCTGGGGACAGAGGGTGCCTGGATATAACTTGCACTGTGCTGAGCTCAATGCACTCCCAAAATAACAGTACCTGGAGAAGCAGGCGGGATAGAGCCTGAATGTGGTCAGGATGTCTATCCAAATCTAAGGGGGGGGGGAGTTGAGGAGTACGGGTATGGGGGAAGTGGGAGCTAGGGAAGGTGGGGCACTGTTCCTGGCATGAAACATTGCTCTCCCTTGAAGTAGCCCTTCAGTTGGGCCTGAGGTGGGGAATTCTGATTTGAACTTGCAGCAGAGGCTAGATAGGTGTGATCCACCCTGTTGATCCCAGAGACTGGGGACTTTGGACCCCTAGCTTCTTCTCCAGTAACTGCCACATCCCTCCCCATCACTAGAACAAGTTGAAAGACCCTAGCACCCTCAGTCCTCACTTAGGAAAATGAGACTAGAGGGCATGGCTCTTGCTTCTGAATGAAACTCTTGTCTGCTTTCTGCTTCCAGGATCCCACATGTTCTACAAATTAAACATATTTTTCAGTCCCATACTCTAAAGCATGTTAAGCATGCACAGATCCCCATCCTGAGAACTTAGTCAATGCCACCATAAGAATGAAAGGAAAAGTCCAGCATTGAAAGGGGAGGGAGTCATGCAGTAAGTGCTCATTTTGGATAAGCTAACCACTTCTCATATCCATTCATCCATCCATTCTATCTATCTATCTATCTATCTATCTATCATCTATCCATCCATCTATCCACTCACCTACCATTCACCCATCCATCCATTCCTCCACCTAGTCACAAGCCAGGTTGTGGTATATGGACCAATTGCTCACAAAGCTTGAAGGCCATCCAGAGCTAGTGCATGGTATTGCCCATTGCCCGGGGAAGGGGAAGATAGTGGTTGAATTCATGGTTCCCTTTCTCAAACTGGACAGGGCAGAATAAACTTTACTTTATCTAACAATATTTTATCTATCTTAAGTCTTAACTGAGAAAAGACACAACAGGGACTTTGGACCCACAGATAACTGGAACAAAGATGACAGATGGAAATACATCATAAAAGGAGCATCTGGGGGGTGGGATGCTTTGGAAATGAAGATATTCAAAAGCATCTGTACATAGAAGAATTGAAAAAACCACACCCAGGTCCGTATGTGACATCTGGTTTCTTACAGTCTTATCCCTAGGCTCAGATCTAGTCCCTAGCCCAGGCAGGCAATGACAGCCTGGCAATGGGGGATGAATTCACAATTCCGGTGAGCCAGGTGCTTTAATCACTCAATCCTCATATCAAACTTGTGAAATAGAAACTGAGAATCATCACCCAGGTCAAGGAGACCTACACTGAGACATGTATTTGAACTACTGAACCCCAAAGACAAAGGAAATCTTGAAAGAAGCAGGAAAAGATGTAATTTTGTCTTGTACAGCTTCCTCAATAATCATTAGCAGCCAACTCCTCATGGGGAATCCTGGAGTCCAGCAGAAATGGGATAATGTATTTCAAGTACTAAAACAAGCAAGAAACAAACCAAGAGTCAACCAAAATTTCTATATCCAGTAAGACTATCCTCAAAGTGGGAGGGAGAAATTAACAGTGAAGCTTAAGTAAACAGATAAGGAGGGAATTCACTATTAGCAGAAATGTACAAGACATGATCAAACAAATGTTCATGTGGAAATGGGTGAAAATAGATACAGAATAGATAGGAAAACCTCCATTAGAGGCAAATAATAAGACAAAAATAAAGTCTTGTTTGTTTCATGTTAGTGTGTAACTCCCCTTTTAAAATACAAGATTTGAAGAAAATAAATGTAAAGAACTATGAATCTGTCTTTAGTAGGTAAACAGTGCCTAAATATATAAATTGTGACATCAGTAACATAGAAATGGACGACAACATAGAGGTCTCTAAGAGCGCTTTTATAAGTAATTGAAGTTATATTGCATCTATTCAAATTGGATTGTGATAATTTTGTGAGGTCTTACGTAACCTACATGAAAACCACAATGTAAATTTGTAGAATATACACAAAAGGAGATTAGAAGTAAATCAAATGCTTCACACACACACACACACACACACACACACACACACCCCAGCTGATCACATGAACGAGTGGAATTGGGATGGGGAACCTAAAAACAATTTTTAATGGAAAAACAAGTCATTGACTATCAGTGACTACTTTAGATTTAAGTTGACCAATTTGTAGGCTCAGAAGAGCTAGCCCTGCTCCTCAACTGTAGCTGCAGCAGGAGAGCTGGCGCCAGTGGCATGGGCTCAGGAAAACTGACCCCTTCAGCAGGGGTGCCGGAGAGCTGGCTCTGCCCCTTCCTGGCAGAAGACCGGGGCTCAGTTCTCAGCACCCACACATGGAAACTAGCAACTGTCTTCAAGAGGATTGCTACCATTAGGTCATGTGTGAGTGATGGGAGATCTGTTCCCTCTGTGACTATGTTAGAAACTAAGCAATGTAGAACCTAGCTGTAATCATGAGTTATAGACCTGCCCAGGTTACATAAAGGGATGCTGTCTCAAGAAACAATCAAACAAGAAAAATAAAAGCAAAACAACAAGGAAGCAAAAGAAGGTAGAGACTAGAGAGAAGTGTTTAGTGATTAAGGGCCCTGTCCTTGGAAGGAGTGAGTGATCAGGGTTAGTTTTCACAAGACGGCTATTATAACGGAGTGACTCTGAGAGGCAGCTCTCTGGCTTCTGGCCTCATATGATCTCTAATTCTTGCACTGCATCTGCCATTTCGGTGCCACGTACCACATGAGGCAGCCAAAAAATTCCCTACCAAAGCCAGGCAGATGTTGGTACCATGCTCTTGTACCCACAAAACTGTAAGCTAAGTGAACCCCATTTCTTTATAAAGTAGCTTTCCTTGAGTATTTTATTCTAGCAATAGATAGCAGAGTAATAAAAATATATATTAATGTACATTAATATATAAATATATATGTATTACAGAATTAAATAGAGAAGTGGATGACTTAATGATAACAGTTGAAGAACTCAATAGTATACTTTGAAGGTTTTTTTTATTGCATCTACCCATTGTGGGGAATGCACAGACCATGGTATACATGTGGAGGTCAGAGGGCAATTTATGGAAATTTCCTTTTACCTCCTTTGAACTCCAATCATCAGGTTTGGCTTGGCACCAAGTGTCCTCACCTGTGGGGCTATTTCAATAAAGAAACAGAGAACCTGAACAATACTGTGAGCCGATTGAATGTATTAAGATAAACCTAACAGCTCACACAACAACAGGATAATGAACATGTTCCCAAACTAAACACAGGGAATATTCTCCCACATACTGTGTCAGGCCACAAAAGCAAGTCTTAATGGATATAAAATGTGGAAATCAGACAGCATGTGTTTTGAATTTCATGGAGTGAAACTAGAAAATAGCATGATCATAGATGGAGACTTCAGTACTCTCCTGAAAAGTCTCAGTGGGGAAAGGTATTTGCTGCAAGCCTGAAGAAATGCTGGAAAAATCACAAACAGATTGAAATGAAATAACACACATTTTTGGTGATGCTGGGAATAAAACCCAGAGTCTCATGCCTGCTAGGCAAGTCTTCTATTCCCCAAGGGACATCCCTAGTCCATCAACAGCACACCAGTAAACAAAGAGATCATGAATGAGGTCAGAGAATAACCAGAGAGAAATGAAACACAATGTACCAAGGCAGACTGGATACAGAGAAAGCTGGTCATGCTCTCGGATCACTGTAAAGAACCAGTAAGAAAAAGTGAATGGTTGGGTAGTGGTGGCACACACCTTTAATCCCAACATTTGGGAGGCAAAGGCAGGAGGAGTTCAAGGCTAACCTGGTTTATAGAGTGCATTCCAGGACAGCCAAGGATACACAGAGAATCTCTATCTCAGAGAGAGAGACAGAGACAGAGAGACAGAGAGAGAAAGGAAGGAAGGAGAGAGAGAGAGAGAGAGAGAGAGAGAGAGAGAGAGAGAGAGAGAGAGAGAGAGAGAGAGAAGAAAGGACCTGGTGATAGTGGTGCATGCCTTTAATCCCAGCACTCGGGAGGCAGAGGCAGAGGCAGGTGGATCTCTGTGAGTTCGAGGCTAGCCTGGTCTACAGAGTGAGTTCCAGGACAGCCTCCAAAACAATAGAGAGAAACCCTGTCTCAAGAAAGAAATGAAGGAAGGAAGGTAAAGAAAAAAGAGGTAAAAATCCAAAGGCAAAACAAAAAAGAAATAGATTAAAATAAGAGCTAAGATAAGATCAAGCATTCATAACTATTAATAAGTCTCCAAGTCATGGTTTGGGAGAAAGTGTTCTACAGATCTCTGAGTTCAAGGCTAGACTAGTCTGCATAAGAAGTTCAGAAATAACCCTTTGTATATATTGTGGTTTAATGAATTCCAATAAAGATACTCAGAACATAAAACAGAGAATACCACCTCAACACATGATGTTGTCAACTATAAATCCAAAGAGCCACATGCCCAAGAGTATACCATATAAAAACTGGGTCACAGGTTTAAATCTAAGAACAAAAAGTATATAACTCTTAGAAGAAAACACAGGAGGAAACTGTTATTAAATTGTCATGGATTTGTCAATGACATTGTTTTTATATAAAAAGCACAAGGATCACAAGCTAAAAAAAGACAAGCTGAACTTTCCCAAAGTTGAACCTCACTTTCTCCTTCCATGAACAGATCCAATCTCTGGGTCCCCACACTTCTGAGGATGGGGAAAATAGGGAGTTTTTGTTGTTGCTTTCTTTTGTTTGTTTTGCTTTGTTTTTCCTGTTTCAGAAAAGGAGTAAGGCTGCCACAAAAGAAGGAAATGTGGGACTGGAGAGATGGCTCAGGAGTTAAGAGTGCTTACTTCTCTTGCAGACGAAAGGCATTTGGTTCCTAGCACCTACAACTGCCTGTGACTCTAGCTAGGGCATCCAATGCCCTCTTCTGGCCTCCATGGCTACCTGCACATATGCGGCACACACAGAGAGACACACGAATTAAAATGAAATGTTTCTAAGGAAGGAAACATGATAGGACTGTCAGGATTGAAGTTTGCTATGGTCACTCATGCTCTCTGCCTGGCCCTGAGCCCCAGCAATGAACAACATTCCAGTGTTCTTTCTAAAGGGGGATAGAGAAGTATTTATGCTCAGAGACAAACACTTAGAAACACTATGAGTGATGTACTCAACTCACATGAAACTGGAGGCTTAGAAAATGCTATCCTTGGCACCAATTTCTGCTACCTCTCTAGGCCAAGTTTCTGGGTCTCAGTCTGGCTGATGGAAAACCACTATCGCACACCAGAAGTCAAGCCCTTCTTTTACTTACCTGGGCTATGGCATTAGCTACTATATTGCCTTCACCCTCATTTGGGGGGGTTTGATCCGTTTTGAAGCTGGCAGAGGTCCCTCCTGGGTACCCTAATGGGCCTGGGAGTCTTGAGAATGTTCCCAGAGGAAGCACAGGACAGGGGAAGCAGTTGGCTGTTGGGGAGGCAGTTAGAGAAAGTTCCAGGGAAGTTCCAAGGAGGTGCTTCTACTTAGGGCAGGAGGGGATAGGAAAAGAAGGACGGGAGGGGTTGCCAACCTTCAAAGGGTTCTAAGGCAGAGAGTGGGAACTTCATGGACAGTTCTTTCCCTGCTCCTCTTATTTTCCAAAGGACATTATAGAGGCAGGATGAGAAAGCTGCAGACCCATGCAGAGTCAAAGAGGCAAACGGCTGGGTCCAGCATTTGGAGAGAGTGCAGAAAGACTCAGACAAAAAACTTCCTTGGAGCCTTTTGCCTCCTGGTCCTGTGTGACCTGGAGAAATTCAAACAAAGAACTTACTTCCAGGTTCCATAGATGCAGTCCTCCTAAAATCAGGAAGCACTACTCCTGCCACAAAGTTATGGATCTCATTCAGAGCATGGATCTTCTGCTGTGTTTGTATAACCATACCTGGATTTACAACTTTACTTAATTCCTTCCAAAGAATTCCTCCCAGGAAAATAAAGGACTTGCCAACACATACTCACAAATTCAGCTACTTGGTAAACTGAGGCAAGAGAGACTTTCAAGATCAAAGCCAGACTGAACTATGGGGGGAGTTCAAAACTAGTCCCAGCAACATAGTGAGATCTTGTATCCCAACAAAGCATAAAAAGATGGGGGCTCTGAAGCACTTGACTGTTCTTCCAGAGACCCTGAGTTCAATTCCCAGCAAACATATGGTGGCTCACAACCATCTGTATAGAGATTAGATTCCTTCTTCTGGTGTGCATGAAGGCAGAACACTCATATACATAAAATAAGCAAATAAATAAATCTTTAAAAAAAAGAGCCAGGCGTTAGTGACTTATGCCTTTAATCCCAGCACTGTGGAGTTCAAGGCCAGCTTGATCTACAGAGCAAGTGCCAGCATAGGCTCCAAAGCTACACATACACAGAGAAACCCTGTCTCAAAAAAAGAAAGAAAGAAAGAAAGAAAAAATAGGGTCTGAGGATTGCAGCTCATTCGGTAGAGTATTTGCTTAGCACGTATGAAACCATGGGTTTGATCATAGCATCACATAAATTGAGCATGGTGGTACAGACTTGTAAATTACAGCATTCAGGAGGTGGAGAGAAGAGGATCAAGAAGTTTAAGGCATCTTCCACTGCATGGTAAATTCAAGACCAGATAGATAAGATACATGAAAACCTGTTTCAAAAAAAATTTTTTAAGCAAGAAAGAGGAGCTAGGGGTACATAGTTCCAACATAAAGCACTTGCCTAAACCGGGAGATGGTGGCACATGCCTTTAATCCCAGCACTCGGGAGGCAGAGGCAGGCAGAGCTCTGTGAGTTCGAGGCCAGCCTGGGCTACAGAGCAAGTGCCAGGATAGACTCCAAAGCTACACAGAGAAACCCTGTCTCAAAAAAACCAACCCCCCCCCAAAAAAAGAAAAAAAAATCACTTGCCTAATATGCCCAAGCCCTTACTTTTAACACCCTGTAGTGTGAAGGAGACTGGGAGGAGGAGGAGGAGGAGGAGGAGGAGGAGGAGGGAGGGAGGGAGGGAGGAAGAGAGAGAGAGAGAGAGAGAGAGAGAGAGAGAGAGAGAGAGAGAGAGAGAGAGAGAGAGAGAATCAACAGAAATTCATGCACTAGTAGTTCATTTTCAACCCTGGCTGCCCATTGGAGACCTGGAAATAGCAAAGGCTGTCATAATCCCAGCAATTCTGTCAGACTCTGAGGGTAAGATCCAGACACCGTTAGATGTTTCTTAAAAGACTTAGCTTAGGTGAACGGCAGGTGTTCCCTTGGAAGGTGCTGAAGGCAGGAAGATGCTGATCCCACCACCGCCTAGCTCAAAGCTTAGTACATTTCACCCAAACTGAAAGACGAAGACTGGAGACTGGCGTGTAACTGATTGGTAGAGTGTTGGCCATGGATGAGCAAGTCTCTGGGCTTGATCCCCACTGCTACAAACAGAACAAAGTGGAACTCCAAGATGGCAGTTCATGAGGTGCCAGTCAGTGCCCGTTCAGTGAGGCACCCCTCCCCGATAGTCCCTGCTGCCATCCAGGGCCACTGAACGGCAGAAGAGTCATGAGATCTTCACAGTGCCAACCTCCATCAGTTTTTGGAAGCACCTCCAAATGAAGCTTCTGGACGGGCATATTGCCCTACCGTTTCCCTGAGCTGGTCTGCAGGAAGGAAAGAGTGGATAGACACTTCCCACCTCTTCTTGCTGTCCCCAGGTATCCTGCCCCTCTGGATGCTTGTGCCACTGAGCCTGTTCCAAAGATGGTGACAGTGTTGGCCTTCACCATGTCCTGAGCACCCTGTGAGCATGTCTAACTTGCACTGTCCCATTTAATCCAGCCCTGTGACCTAGGTCCCTGTTTTGCAGCTGAAGTTTGGCATCAAATGCTATATAATTAGTGAATGGAAGAGCTGGATCCCAACCCAGATCCTTGTGTATCCAAAGCCTGTGTGCTTACCCTCCCCCAAGCCGAGATCCTTGACTGCCTGCTTTTTCTGTCTTTGCCCCAAAAGTCCTGTGACCACAAACGTCCCTTCGTTTGTCTCTTTGATTTACAGCTTCCCCAAACTGCAATGGTCACAGGACATTTAGAGTCCCATTTTTCTTGGACACTCCCTGTGTCTCATCCTATTGGCTCATTTATTCACTCACTAATTCACTCATTCAATCACCAGTTTCTGGGTCTTCTCCAAGCCAGATGCCGCCAGTCTCTGGGGTTTGGCTATCTTGCTGCTACACCAATGTGAAATTAGAAAGGGGAAAAAATAGTGGTCTCAGCCAGGTCTAGAATGGTGGCTTAGCTGTTTTCCTCTGAGGGAGGTGAGGTGAGAAGGCATCAAATCCTAAACGTCTTTGAGCCCTCCCACGTGCGACACGGTGATCTCAGCTCAACATCTTATTGCCAGGCTGCACACAGCAGCATTTTTAATGGGAAATGGGAAAGCGGTTTAATGGAAAAGGCATGCATGCATTAACTTAATACCAGGTACCGTGCTGAGAAGGAACAAAAACTAAAACGCAGAGAACAGGTCCTGAGTTAAAGAGCTGTCTTGAGTCAGAGATAGGCTTAGGGCCAAAGTCGTATGAGACTAGAACTGAAGGTTGTATAGCACATTGGTGAGTCTTCAAGGCTGTGTGCTGTAAGCTCAGCCTCTGTTCTTTGATGGGTTAGAATGCATGTGTCAGATCCTTAGGGCCTGCCTTAGTCCCAAGCCCTCATATCTGGTCGTGTGATTGCTGTGCTGTAGGCAGGTAGAGGACTGAACACAGTCAAAACATTAAACCCAAAACAATTGCCTACAGCAAGCGATGAGAGAGGCCCTGGCCCATCCACAGATACCAGCCAAAAAGAAAAATGTCAGGCCTGGGATGAGGCTGGCATCTTGATCTCCCTTTGAGAGTTCAAAGGAAAGCTGATCGTGGCCTGCTCACAGTCCTTCTCCTGGCATGCCTACTCAGAGAGGAGGCTTGTCAGAGGGCTCTGCTAGGAACGGGGCAGGTCTTTATGCCGTTTATTCTGTCTTCCTTTAGCTGCAACACTCACCTGTGTAATAATTTCACAAACCGTCCCAGGGCTGGTGTGTAAAGAGTTGGGGGAGGTTTGCCATCCTAGGAGAGAGGGATGGAGTGACCTGGAGCAGATTTCTAGTTAAGGATAGCAATCATTGATGAGATGGTAAGTCTTCTGATGACCTATCTGGGGACTTGCAGGGAACTCTTTAGCAAAATGTCCAGAGAGGCCGGGCAGTAGTGGCGCACAGCTTTAATCCCAGCACTCGGGAGGCAGAGGCAGGCAGATCTCTGTGAGTTCGAGGCCTGGCTGGACTGACAGCCTCCAAAACAATACAGAGAAACCCTATCTCGTAAAAACCAAACAAAAAAATGTCCAGAGAAGTCCTACCGTGCCTAAACAGGGACATTACAGAGAAGATTCCACTCTCAGGGGAAGGATGGATTTGAAGGTCTGGGCTTTCAGCCTATGCTCTGTGGAGCAGCTTCAGGAGTATTTGGGGTACAGCATGTGGGGAGGGAAGCCAAGTGGTTGGAACATGGTTCAGTTTTCTGCATTGGGGTTCTGTACTAGTTACTTTTCATGTTACCATGGTTAGTAACCTAACAAATAAATGATGGGAGATAAGATTTATTTTGGTTGAGGGTTTCAGAAGGTTGCAGCATATTATAACAAGGAAGGCCTGGCAGAGTTCCTGGAATCTGCTGGAGTGGAGGCTGAGAGGGAGCAGAAAGAGCTGGACCCAGGAACCATAGAAGCTTCTGATGCTCACAACTAGTTAAGAGGGTGGACCAAAAAACAAACTTATAGAGAAGAAATAACGAAATCAGTGTGCAAAATGTAACATCCACAGTTTCTTCCATGGTGGCTGTCCCAGCTAGTTTGACAACTAGACAGAGCTTGAGTCATCTGAAAGGAGGGAGCCTCAATTGGGAAAATTCCTCCTTAAGATCCAGCCACAGGAGGACATTTTCTCTATTAGTGATCGATGAGGGAGGGTGGCACCATCCCTGAACTGGTGGTCCTGGGTTCTATAAGAAAGCAGATTGAGCAAGCCAGGGAGAGCAAGCCAGTATCCGCACTCCTCCATAGCCTCTGCATCAGTTCCTGTCTCCAAGTCCCTGCCCTGTTGAGTCCTGTCCTGACTTCCTTTGATGATTTTGATGATGAACTGTGATCTGGAAGTGTAAGCCAAATAAACCCCTTCCTCCCTAAGTTGCTTTGGCAATAGCAACCCTAACTGGGACAGTGGGAAACACAACTTCAGACAAACCGCTAGCAAACAGAATTTTGTCCAGTGCCTAGAGACAAAAATTACCACCCCTGACAACTAAGACCCCTCATCCGGCCTCCAGGACAAGTTGCCCTCCACATCTCCCTATCAGTACCACCCACTGGCCTCATTGCCCCCACCCCTACCCTGCTTCACCCCTGATGGTGTTCGGACTCACCATCTGCTCTGCTCTGGCATTTA